TCTGTTACTATTTTCTTAAGTCCAAGCTTCAATCTTAGTTGGTTCATATAACAGTTAGGGCACTCGTAAACATTCTACATTTGAATTGTCGGATAGATTTATTAAATCCGAACTTTGGCCTTCAGCAAATAGTCCTATGTAATAGTGTGAATCTACGGATTTGTTTGGTGGATTCCAGTGGAACTAACAAGTCTTGTAACTTGTCAACTCGTAAAGAGTAATCGACATCAAGTGGACTTGAGTATATTTCAAATACCATATATAGAAACAAACTGAGAGAGCTAGGCGAGTCACTTCACTATCATGGATTTTTGTCATCCAAGCACGCAGATGCTGTATAATAACTTTTAGTATAGTTTTTGTTTTACTATAATTTTCAACTTCGTAAATAAATATCAAACGGGTATGTCGAGGGGATATTGAACAAAAGCATCTGGCTGGCACAATTGAAATGTGAAGTTTTTAGTAAATGGCGCTGCTCAACTATAGGAGCGCCAACGCCAAATTTTAAACATGTATTTTTTTATTCTTGGCTTGGTTCTTTTTTCAAATTGATTTAAAAACGAGGAAACTAATGGTAATGGACATTGACTTACAATTATATGGACGTCGGGTCCGCGCTAAAAAGTGTCCGCACTTGTAAGGCGCTAAAATCGTATACACAGCGCTATCTCCGCTTTAGTCTTCATTTGTTCTACTGACAGCGCGATACTGCGATGACATTACAATTTAAATTTCGAATAGGTTGACTTGGGACATTTTTTTCGTGGTTTTTGTATTAGACCCGTCGTCCATTTATTTGTAAGTCAATGGTAATGGACATAAGATTGTTTTGGCATTAGTCGTACGCTTAGAAAATATTTCAACTAGGTTCTCACGTTCGGACTTTAAAAAATAATCCCACTTGAATGTTCCAAGTGGAGTTGAGTCGTGAAGCTTTGTTAAGATGCGGTGGTCATAACCACAAAGGCTTTACTGAACGCCTGCATTCACCGGTAGCGGTCTCGCTGCAATGGAATAATTTGAGAACACTAAGTTTTTAGAAATTATTATGCAATATAATACATACCAACGTAAAGTAAAAATAATTCTTACAGAACGAAAATAAATTTGATATTTTTCTTTGTGAATATCGAAATATCACTAGTGTTTTAACAAAAAAGGTACAAATAAAATGTGGGGATTAAAAAAGTCATACAACTATCTTTTAAGCGATACGCAGATCATATTCAATTACGGTATGACAGCTCGAAAAAAAAAAGAACGTTGTATGAGCAGCGCGTTCGAAAACCAAAGTACATTGAGCCATGAGAAGCGGCTCACACCAATAGGGAATTTTCTTAATTTAAATCGAAGTATACAAATAGAATTTGAATAATCAATTTCACATACCAATTTGCTCATGGCCGTTAGGTGTAACGTTTAACCATCGAGTAGATTGTTCCGTAGTACACATTCCCACCACGTTTTTTTGTGTTATGTTTATTATCGCTTTCGTAGCCTTACTTTCTCAAACTTTGTTACTGAAGTGCAAAAAATGGATTGTATACATATTTTGCAGGCTGCTTTCACATCACATTTCCTTCATATTCACACACTGGCTTTTATCAATTCTTAAATTAATGGATCCAAATTAACACCCGAGATTAAAAGATTTAAAATAAATAGAAAGTTTTGCCATTTCCTGAATAATCACTCTTTATAAGATACGAGTTTGAGGAGTAAGGCATCATTATGTGTTAAATGACTCAGTCACACCTTCAATTAAAGGCGCGTCTGATGGTTGATTTTTATCACATTTTCATAGATTTTAGAACGGTCAGGCAATTGTGAGGTCGTCTGCAGCTTTTCTACGTAAAATGTACTATTAATGCTACCACAGTGTATTTTCAACTGATTACTTATTTCCGCGTCGTATTTATTATATTATTAGCAATTTATTCTAATAATTGTTAGGGTGAGATTTACAAAACGAAGTAAACTCAAAGTTTAGTTTATTTTCTTACTTAAACTTAGGCAAGTTCGTTTTGTAAATACAACAAAACTTGCTTAGCCCTAATCTTGCGTAGTCGAAGTCAATATCGTCATATAAATCTCAGCCTTACTTTTAGTTCGTAATTCGTATTGAAACTGTCAATTAAGAAAATGTAAAATAATTTAATGCAAATTTGCCTTCGTCTACATACATAAATAAATATATATATTACACGCATGTTCCACTAAGCGGCTGGCCGCGCGCGACTATTATTCAAATAAGTCATTACACTAAACCCATTGACACGACCGCGGTTCTAGTAAAACTAGCCGCTACGGCTACGGTCGTTAGTCGCTTAGTGGAAAATGGCACTTATACATTGAAAGTTTATGCGGTTACTTAAAACTTCCATAGTATCACGGGGCTGTGACACTAGGTATTGGGTTCGATTGCCTATTGTACCAAATTATCCGTATCCGTATGAACATTGAACAGTCACATTAACAAGTCATAAACAATGTGCTAATTAGATTATTTACAAATATATTTTAAACGCGAGATTCCGGATCTTTCGTTCAGTCAATTATTTGATGCTACCATCTTATGATGGCACTTTACACGGCTATTTGTATTTCGGTACCTCTCACGTAAGTTATTGTAAGTCCAAATACTGTTTTTTGCTTTGTAACTTTAATATATTCTTTTTTATGTATATTATAGGTTCCTTATTTAAAAGTAAATCCCTTAAAAGAAATCCCTTAGTTTTATGTTTTGTTTCAAACATAGTACTTATAATTTAAATAATAACATTTTCATTGAAAAAAAAAAACCGATCTCAAAAGTTTCCTTATCGGATTTTTTCGATTTACATGGAATCCTCTCATCAGATTCTGAGTTTTTGGTGACAATAGGACTGTTACGGACTCTTTTGTACATAAATTTCTGTATATTTATACTTTTGTTTTTGGTTGTCATGGTGACGGTGATTTGTTGATTACATATATTGTGTCAAGTGAAAAGTCGAGTTTATTTGAGGAAAATAGTTTCTTAATTTGTTATAGCAGAAATGAACCCGGAACAGTGTCGGCATCAGGGACCACTTCGAGATTGTACCCTTTCAAATAAAAAAAGAATTTTCAAAATTGGTCCACAATTGACGGAGAAATAGGAGAGTGCACTGACATGCCTACAAAATTTGAGGATTTTCCTCGATTTCCATAGGATCTCCTCATCAGATTCTGACTTCGTGACAAGGGGAGAGTGCACCCTTTCAAACAAAAAAGACTATTCAAAATCGGTCCACCACTGACGTAGAAACCGAAAAATATACATACAGCCGAACATATAACCTCCTCCTTCTTTTTGAAGTCGTTTAAAAAGGATATATTTAAGTTAAAAAGCAAAAAAATCGCATTTTAACGTACAACAACTTAAGTGTTATGTATCGATTTGTTTATTCGATATATTTGACAATCAAACATCACGTGTAGATAGTACGTGTGACAAAGTATTATGCTCTATTTGATTCTTCCACAAATACAGCAAACACCACACACGCGTTACTGCGTGCTTGTCGGTTTCTCGGCGCATAACAAAGGTGTCAAATAGGCAAATTCACAACCGTCAATGCAAGTAAAACGTCTACATTATGGTCATATAAGGGTCGCCACAGGACAGATTACTGCTTTTGAAACGGGAATACTATGCTGGGCATGACACCATTATGCATAATAGAACTGTTTTTTTTTTTTTACAATACCAAGCGATGAGACGAACAAGTCGTGCGCCTGGTGGTAAGCGACACGCCTATCTCTGGCAGTTGCAGTGCCACTGAGAGCTTTAAATCGCAAATATCTTAGGCCACTGCGCCCGTCACCTTGAAACATAAGTTGACAAGTCCCATGTGCCTATAATTAAATTAGCATCCTTGCAACACAATAATGCTCACATTACTGCTTGGCGGTCGAAATAGGTAAAGTTATAGGTAAGACAGTACTTCACTGGACGAATTCTTTCACAAGGAACTCTACTGCACTCTGCGTTTGGGCCAAAAATTTTCAGAATCTGTGGCCCCAAACTAGTCAGCAATATGTTTTTATACACGATTGTCTCGATTTTAAAATAAAAAGAAATACAATTAAATCTGGCTCTGCTAAATGTCTATACAAGTTGTTGAAAAATGTTAGTGATGCAACGGACCCTGTTTTTGCTTCCGCAACGGCAGAAGTTCCGCACGCTTTTTAACTTCTGTTTCCGTTTCTACCATGACTTTTATAACGGAACCTTAATCGATAGTTTTCAATGTTTGCGACTCAACACGCGAAAGTACATAATTATTATATATTTGGATGCTCTTTCATGTATAAAAAAATATATAAATATTTTTATACAAGAAAATAAAAACTTAAATTAGGGTACTTTAACATCTTTTAAAGTAATATTATAAAGAAAAAAATTTAACGTGGGTTATACTACTTTTGCGCCGATAGCCTTAATTATGAAACCAAAAACTAGTCTGGTTGCAGTTCCAACTATTGAGTTGAGAATTTTATAGTATTAATACTTCTGCTTCCGCATCCGCTTCCGTTTCCGCTCAGATTTATTTTTGACATCTGTTTTCGTTTCTATTCCCGTTACGACACTTCTGTTGCATCACTAATAAGTATAACATATCTTCTCAGCAGAGCGTTACAGCGAAGCGCTCACGTCAATATGATATGGGACAACGTGCTTGCGATGGTTGAATCCGATGAATTATGGCGTTATGGTTATGCACCTTTTAGGGAAATTATATCAGGAAATTGACATAGGCAACATAAGTAGGTAAGTACATAAAATAGGTAAATACGACATAGCCAGCCATATACAACAGATTATAACTAGAATTAGTCTATAGTTCTACCTTCTTTCCTCCAAATCTCGTGGCCTCCGTGTCAAACCCGAAGCTTGAATCTTCCGACCACAGCTGACAGGTTACATAGAAAGGCAGTTGTTGAATTTATTTTGACATTTGGGTCTAGACCAAGGTGGATACGAAATATCTATATGTAACAGTAAATCATTGTACACAAGTAAGCTTCCCATAGCAAAGGCGTGACATAAAGTAATAATGTTAACCGAACGTACGCATGGTTACGTCATTACGAGCAACGAATTAGCGCGTTCATAAGTTGAAATGGTGCGGCGCAGACGTTGAGAGTGTTGTCGCAGACGCGGGCAGCGCAGCTACGCCTGTAACGCAAGACATGTTTTGTATTACTACTACTAACGTCTACTAAAGGAAATTTTTAATGAATCGCATTGAGCGAGTGGATTTGGTTTTTGATATAAATGACCAATTACAGTACAACTGTTTTCATAAAAATCTCTCGGAGTTGTAAAACTATCTGTCGTGCCTGCGACTTTAGCAGCTTTCCGTGCTAAAATAAATTAAAAAATAAGCAAAAAAAAATAAATTACAACTAGTCTCCAAGACTCTGCCGCCGTCTCGGTGCTAACAGTCGTCGCGTAGCGTCACTCGGCGCCGACCAGTCAATTCGAGTCGATTAAGTATCGTGCTGATCACCGCGAAGTACAGACGCAAACAATGTTTAGCAATTAATTATTAGTGAAAAAACATCTTCACGATTGTGACGACGACATCATCCCAGGCTTTATTTTGTACATCTCTGTTTTTGTTTAATAAATCAGAAGAGTCTCACAAACATATTCTTTTGCGTACTTCGTTGATCACAGTGTCAGTTTCGCGGCTATGATTGTTCATATCGGTGCGTCATCAGCGTGAAACGAACACGCTCATTGGCTGTGGAGATGCGTGGTCAGCGCTAACCAGTCGGCGTTATTCAGAAACGCTTCATAGTGATACGTATGTACATATTGACCTGTCAAAGACTGACGGTTAGCGTGAGAAGAAAACCAGCCTAGTAAATTTTGTAAGAGACAGTACGTCTACATTTATAACAAATTTTCTAAAAACGAGTATATTATTTGACCTTTAAAAGCTGTCCCTATCTACCGACACTAGAGATAGGGTTTTCCGGAGAGACTACGGGCTAGACGGCAAGATCAGGGTACAGCGGGCGTCCGGGGCAAGCCCTTCGCCAGTGATACGCCTTCACGGGCGTCTCTGGTGGACCCGGACTTGAGTATGGACTCGTTGGGGTTTGTGGTAAGCTGCAGAGATGGACATGTTTGCCTGCTGTTGCCCGGTTGCATGTGGCCGGGGCGTCTGCCTCGTGCGCAGCTAGCGCGTCTTAGTAGCGGTCTAGTAGAGGGCCTAAGACGAGGAGACGCGCAGAACACGTGAGTTGCCCTTTAAGTTGGAAGCTATGTCCGGATATTGTCACAGGACACTGCGACCGACAACTCCGGTACTAGCCCGGAGAGCTAGATATCCTCCGGTTCCTCCAGCCACTTAGCTTATTCGGAACTGGAGAGACGCTTCGCTATCGGAAAGAGAGCGTGTTTTCAGCTCCGCCACCAAAGAGGAGATATGGTAGGGGATTGTAAATTCACCGGCTTAGCGGTGGCAACCGTTAGTTGTGCAAAGCACAACGGAAAGTGAGCGTGCTTACAGCTCTGATACCTATCTGGACAATAGAGAGGGTACTGTATGTGCACCCGGGACGGCTCACAACGCAACGGTCTGTGACAACCCTGTACACTGGCTGATCCGGGGTCAGGACCTGAACTTAGAAGGTCCCTGTCTCTTGCACAGGTTATAGTGCCCTTCCCGCATAACCAAGAGGTTGAGAAGGAGGGTCAGTAATCAAAACATATGTCGAAGATATGGGAGCTGACCTTCAAAAACATATATAACCAAAATAAAGAGTAGTAGCTACTCAATATACTTCCAAGTCGATTAAGTGCGTTCGGTTTGCATAATGCGAAATCCGACGACAGCCGGATCACGAAGACTACCGAAAAACGAAAATAGACCAACTGTCATCGAGTATACATAGCCAGAAATAGGGCCACACATTCCTGGTAACTCATCAGTGATACATCACTTATAATATCAACTCTCGTTTGCACTGAAATATAGACATCGCCAACAACTGGCCTGTGTGTACGTCTCCGTATATTCCAAAAATATTCTGTAGTTATTGTAACAAAGATAATATCTCTAACAATGGCGTGCTGTTCCATTCGGCGGTGTGGGGAAAAACAGCAAAACATCGACTTACAAAACAAACTTAATCAAATTTCATCGGTCATTAAATATTAAATATGTAATTTTGCAATTTTCGTCCGTTATAGCAAAGTTCAATTTAAACTGGTCGATTCGAAGTGAAACAATTTCGAATTCGGGCTGGCCCATCGGAGCGCAGTTGTCACAGTAATGATATGGCAGAAGAGTTTTCAAACACATCAAATGATATTTTGCATTGACCTACCAATAAATGGACGTCGGGTTCGCGTTAAAAAGTGTCCGCACCTGTAGGGCGTTAAAATTGCATACAAAGCGTCAATCGCGCAATTGTCTTCGTTTGTTCGAGTGACAGCGCGGTTGTCAATCATGCAGTACCAATATATGCAGTACAAACAATAACTTGTAAAAATTACTGCAGTAAAGTGTGAAAACAGGATTTTGTATCATATTTTCACTAAACAAATATATTGTGTTATCATAGTTGTCATTTAAAAGTGTTGTTTTGTGCAGTTTTATAGTATTTAATTTATATATAACTGAATCGTAAATATAAACTACAAAAGCACACGAAATAATGAAATAGCTAACGGTCCTTTTTCTACTCATTGCATGCGCACAAGATGGAAAGAGACCCATTACGTCAGTTTCAAGAAGCTTATATAAACTTCTTGGTCATTTTCAATTGTTCGAACCACAAGCGATTGAAATATTTATTTTAATCCTATTTACTTAGTTAGTTAGTTGCTTTTATTTTAATCCTATTTTTAAAATGATTTTTTTATTAAACGTTAGCAGTAACTAACAAAATATTGTTGTACTCGTTTTACGGCATGGGATTGCCTATCAGAAGTCAGGTCGACGTCGGGTCCGCGCTAAAAAGTGTCCGAACTTATAGGGCGTTAAAATCGTATACAGAGCGTCATTCACGGTTTAGTCTCCGTTTGTTCGACTGACAGCGAAGCAAGCAAAATTAGACAGTACTGCGATGACATTACAATTTAAATTCAACGTTTTAGCTTTTTCATATTCCTTTACATGTCACTACGTTTAAATAGGTTGACTTGGAACATTTTTTTCGTGATTTTTGTATTAGACCCGTCGTCCATTTATTTGTAAGTCAATGATTAGACCCGATGTACATTTGTTGGTAGGTCAATGATATTTCGTCTCTATTTCTAGTTATATACCGATGCGTTATGTACACCTTCCACGTAATGAATGACAGTGGCACTGACCGATCTCCCCGCGAGTTTCCGTGTTGATGGAATGCTCTGCGGAGTGGAGCACGGGCGCGGGCGCATCATTGGGGGGCGGGGGCGCGCGGGCGGCGCGTCGCGGCGACGAGCGCGAGCGCCGCGATCGGCGACTGCGGCGCTCTGACGACATCGTTACGGTGGGCTGTATCAGCGGTGCCGTATCTTCTTCTGCTGCATGGCTGTTGGGAGTCAATAACGAATCGATGTACAGTCGATGCCCGACCTTTTGGTTCCGAGAGGCTTCTTACACGTTTATAGGTAAAATTTTTACTTTTTTCTTAAGTGTACGTTACAGATCAAAATGGCTTAAAAAGTTTCCTTAAACTTCATTCACTAATGATGCAATAAAGAAGTCATATCAAAACATTGACTCAAATCAAAATGATTTTTTCTCAAACATGCTCGGAAATGTTTGCATTACTTTCAAAAAACGAACACGGGAAGTTAGTCATCTATGAACCGTAAAACTTCTTCCCGCCTTCCATTACTGTCCATTTTTCTAAACTTTTAAATCTAGATGAGCTATGTAAACGGGCAAAAGAAAAACTCATACAGCCAACTGCCTAGTGTTAGTAAATGTGAGAATTAAAAATACCTACGTATACCACTTACTTAAAAAAAAAAAACAGGCGGTAAAATAAAGTGCATTAGTATTCTTTTCTGTTCTTTCGTCTGTTTTGTATTTTCGTCATGAAAGACGAGCGGTAATGAAAAAACAGTAATGGATTGTACTCCTCCTAATTTAAAACGAGGCAATATTAGCGATGGAAAACTTGTTGCAGGCTATGAGCAAAACAAGATGCATGAAAACTTATGAAACTTTCAATCAATAGCAACTAAGGTAAGGTTTGTTCGTATATATATCGTAATGTGTAGCATTGATAGATATTAGTTCCGATACTGTAAATAAGCATAACAAACCTTTGTTTGTTTCAGGTTGCTCTAATTTTAGGGATAAACGGTGCATGCAGGAGTACAGAGCTCAGGAATATCACCACAAAGGACATAGATAATCATAAATATATTTATATACTTAGAATAATAACGCATAGAATGATAGTTTCATATCAAACGAACTGTCACAAGTGAGGCAAAAACCAAATTCATGTAGGCGTAAGCAACTTGTAACTACGCTCGTCGGCACGCACACAAATATACAAATAATGATGCCATGGAATAACATTTCCCTCAAAAGTGGGGAAATTGTATCTTGCTTAACTCATCATTAAGTTAAAGGTGCCTACAGATTTGCCCGACATTGTCGATCAGGTGCCTACAGATGTGCTCGGTTTTGTCGATGAAAAACGAATATAACACTTATTTGTAAATCCAAGATGGCGGACACGATTTTTCAAAATATGCTATATGGGTATCCTTTTCGAGGTATTTGGGGATGCTCATTACGAATATGGCACTCATTTCTAAATCCAAGATGGCGGACACGAGTTTTCAAATAAATGCAATATGGGTATCATTTTTGAGGTACTTGGGGGTGCTCATTACGAATGTGGCACTCATTTCTAAATCCAAGATGGCGGGCACGATTTTTAAAAAAAAATGCTATGTGGGTATCATTTTCGAGGTATTTGGGGATGCTCAATGTGAATATGGCACTATTTGTAAATCCAAGATGGCGGGCACGATTTTTCAAATAATGGCTAGTTGGGTATCGTTTCCGAGGTATTTGGGGGTGCTCATTACGAATATTGCTTTTGTTTGAACTGTCGTGTTTGCCATCTTGGATTTAGAAATGAGTGCCATATTTGTATTGAACATTCCCAAACATCTCGAAAACGATACCCAACTTGCCATTATTCGAAAAATCGCGCCCGCATCTTGGATTTAGAAATAAGTGCCATATTCGAAACCTAAAACCGAAAATGCCATAAGCAAACATTAAAGAAAATAACTGTTAAAATAGATTAAAAAATCGCTTAAGAATGCTCCCCTTTTAAGAAAATAAAATATTTTAATATAAAATATTTCGCTTGAGTTACGAAAAGAAAGACATATAATAAGCTATCAAAGTTGTACTGGTGGTGCCAACACTATAGTAGAAACAAATATATAAGTACTGTAAAGTTGCAATATGTGTCCAATTCAAATAAAATTAAAATAAATAATTATTCAATAAAGCATGAGTCCCAATCACTTACAGGAGTTAACGAAAACATTTAATGTTTATTAAATTAAATATTAGTTCAAGATGCGCAAATAAATCTAAATTACAGGCACCACTAAAATTTACGTAATATAATTATTTTGATACAGAATAGCAAAATGGGGAGAAAAAAAATTCGTTACTTTGCAACACTTTCGTATCTTGTTGCCGCGAAATTATTTTTCTGTTTTAGTGAATATTTACATAAAAATATGAGTTGAAACGCATTACTTACTTGTGGAATGCGATGTTAGTGTCTATTTTATGTTTGTCTGTTGTATTTTTACACCCATTTACCGCACATTTCGTCATTTTTAGCAAAAAATTTTGGAGCTGTTCGCGGTGCAATATGACCTTGAGCACTAACAGCCCGCGCGCTCCTGGGACGCGTTTGGAACCCTCTAACTTGCCTCACTTAGCGTGTGCGGGCTAGGTTTCTATGCGTTATTATTCTAAGTTTATATAGTATTATACTTTTAATATTAATAAATTTTGTTTTTTCTACGTTTTTATTATTTCCTCGTATTATTTGGGAAAAGCACTATACACGCCTTGGCCGTAATGGGGATTGCTTGGCTCGTATTAATGCACTTTGTTACTAACTCGTCCGGCAATCCCTTACTTCCCGGCCTCTGCAGTAATGTACTATTACGGGTCAGAGGTAAAACTAATGAAGTGCAAACCCCGAATTTGAATCCACGGCGGTGCTTGAAAGGTGGTAGGTCAAACCGTTAGGCTACACAGCGGTGTAGAATTATATTTTCAAAAATATCCCACTGATAATCAATAACGCTAAATATTAGATACATTCGTTATTTTGACATCTCTAAGAAATACAATTGGTGGTGAAATGTAACTCTTCTCAGCTCAGTTTCGAAAGACAACTGGCTTAATAGTTACCTTTCATCTCCATTTCCGTTATCCTGCTGCTCTACCAGTGCAGGCGCCTCTTCGCTGCCGGTTTGCTCCGCGTCGGCCGTGGCGTCACGCTGCGGCCAAAGGCGAGCGCGCAGCATGCTGCGTATACGCGCTGCGCGACGAAACGGGTTTTCGCTTTGGGGCTCGAACGTGCCGCCCTATCCAATTGATTAACATCATATTAGAACTATTATTTTTATTATTATCCTATACTAGTACTTTATGTATCCGTATTTTTAACTAACTTCAAAAAGAGGAGGGTTTGTGTATCATTGTATAAGAAATGAAACTATTTTTCCGGATTTTAATCGCGTATATTTGTTTTTTCAAACAAACTGACGTTTCGGGCCCTTTACAGGTCCCATGGTCACGGTTAACATTTTTGACGGTTTTTTTGAAAAAACAAATATACGCGATTTAAATCCGGAAAAATATAATTTCGAAATAGAAACTATTTCGAAAATATCGCGAAAGCCTAAGAACCCGATATTGTATTTTTTCTTTTTTTTGTGTGTATGTTACCCGATTACTCCGACTTTTGCAAACCGATTTCGAGATTCTTTTTTTGTGGGAAAGGGGTACCTCATTAATAATCCCATTCAAATTTAAAGGAAATATTCCACGTCTAAAGATGGCAAATTAGGGGTTGAATCCGGTTTATGGGATTTCACCCACTTTCCGTTAAACGATTTCAATAAAACCTGGCAAATATATGGAATTCTACAAACTTTTGAAGTCGGTTTTTTTATATAAAAAAGTTTTAATTATAGTTTAACTTTTCCATTACATACAAATAATATAAACAAGTTTCCGGAAAGGTAAGGGGTGTTGGTGAAATTACAGGCACATGAGACAGTCAACTTATGTCTCAAGGTGACGGGCGCAGTGGCAGTGCCTCTCAGATCTATGCGATTTAAAGCTCTGTGTGGCACTGCAATTGCAATGGACCAAGCGTGTCGCTAACCACCAGGCGAAAAGGCGCACGACTAGTTCGTCTCGTCACTTGATATCATAAAAATTTTAACTTTTGTAAAAAAAAAATAACCTCAAAAGTTCGTGGAATTCTATATGTATATGCTAAGTTTTATTGAAATCGGTTACCGCAAAGTGCCGAAATCGGATTCATTCCCTAGTTTGCCACTCATAGAGGTGGAATATTTTCTTCAAATTTAAATGGGGTCAACAACTGAGGTATCCTCTTTCCAATTAAAAAAGTATCAAAATCGCTTCACAAATGCCGGAGTAATCGCGTAACATACATAAAAAAATACAGTCGAATTGAGAACCTCCTTCTTTTTTTCCAAGTCGTTTAAAAATATATAACAGAAGGGATTTAGATCCGAAAAAAATAGCTTCTTTTTCAATGTGTTCCAAACGCGAAAACCTAAGAATTTTGATTTTGATGCCGCATTTTCTAGCGTTATGTTTGTCGTAAGATAGAATACCTGCGTCCGCGGTGGCTCCGATACGAGCGGTTCGGTGTCATCCGAGTCGGTGTCAGAGGAGTGTCTCCTGACGCGTTCTCCTGCTGCGAACACTTTGCGCTTGCACACCGGGCACACTCGCCGGTTCTGCGTCAGCCAGGGGTCGATGCACTTCGCGTGATACGCTGTACACAAACGACGTCAAATATCTCTTATAATTGTCAAACATGCTCGGAAATGTTCGGTTTCCTTTTAAGTAAAGAAAGCTTGATTATTGCTACACTACAACATTAAAAAGCTTTCAATATTTAACTAGACTAAAGAAAAATGTTCGCTTTTTTAAGGTCAGTGTGTGCGTTTGTTTGATCCTGCCGGGAATCGAACCAGGAACATGCTCACTGAAAACCGTTGTGCCAGTGAAGTCGTCAAACTCTGATCCACATGTATGTGATTTTTATATTGACCTGGTGGATATTTTTTTTAAATGTCATTAGGAATAATAAGCAGTACAATGTCATGAGTTTATCCTATTTCGGATTTGAACAGCTGGACTAAACATGAAATGGATATTACCATGTGCACAGGGTAGTACACGCAGCCGTTCGCCTTCCTGGTAGTCGTCCAGGCAGATGGCGCACGTGTCGTATGGGTCACCCTTGCTGAACTTGCAAGTAGGAATCTTCTTGAGGCAGCGGTTGGGAAGTCTGTGCCGCCGCGCGCGCCGCCTGTCCTTTATGCATTTCACTATCTGCGGTTTCAAATGATAATATGATTTGTTAACACGCTTTTTTTCGTTTAGTTTGAAGTACAAAAATAGCATCTCATATAAACATGAACCCTGACAATAATGTAATAATAACAATGTAGGTACCAGACAACAACGCTAATTTCTTGGTGTCAAACTAGGGAATCACTGCACTATGAGTACCAGAACAACGGAATTAACTCTGGGGCACTTCCCAGAACACCCAGAGCAGAACCAATTTATAAAAGTTACTTTTCCGGGAATCGAACCCGGGAACTCAGCATCAAGCGCAAACAGCGCAAACGGTTTACCGTTTGGTTACTTAGGTCGTCAAATATAGTATAGCAATACCGTAGCATATGCTAACTATAGATATATATATCCAACAAATATACACTTTTCTTATGTGTAGTAAATACTAATAAGTAGCAGTAGAGCCCCTTGTGGTAAGGGCGCTGGTGAAATTACAGGCATTTGGGACTTGTCAACTTATGTCTCTCTCAGGGTGACGGGCGCAGTTGCAGTGTCCTCCAGATCTTTGCGATTTGGCGTATAGCTTAAAGCCAGGCGCACGAAGATAGATTAATTACAAAAAAAAAAACAAAAAATACTAAATATACACATAATTTCCAAATAATTCCATCAAAATTAAAATATTTATTACCACTTCCCACAAAACTAACATGTATTGGCCAAAAAGGCTGTGCGGCCCTTGTCACTAGCTTATCTTAAAAAAAAGTTTTGTTGGTAGAACATCATTACGAATAAATTCCTACAGAATATGAAGTTCTTTATCGTTGGTTTAAAGTGATATGAATGTATTTTTTCAGAAAGAACAAAAAGTGTGCTGTGAAATATTATAATACCTAAATACTATAATGTTGTTTCTAGTTACAATTTAAATTAGTTAAAACATACGTCTCTTGGATGCCATTACTCATAAACTACATATTTAAAGTTTTACTTTAACAAAAAATGGCTTATTTATTTATTCATTCATAGAAAAGCAACAGCTTCAACCATTTAACAAAAACAGGAAAGAAACATAAAACCAATTACAGGTTTCCACCTATAGCTTCAGACAAATCAAACACGAGCATTATACAAACGAAAAATAAACAGTATTTATTGACAACATGCACTTACATAAGTATAATAACCCAATACCTGCGCCAACAATTACAAATTATTCAATAAAATTAAATAAAATGTCCATGAGTTTACGCTTTAGCGCATCAACACTACAATTAAATATACAACATCCAGGTCATGATTGTTCAGCACACTATCCAAGCTCTTGCTAGCTCTACAGTGAAAACTGTTTTGTCTATAATTAGTCCTCGCTAAGGAACTGAATAGGGCGATAGTGTCTCATAGAACGCGTAGGTACATTAAACGAAATATCACCTAATAGTTCAATCGTTCAATTGGTTAAAATAAAAATGCGTAAATAAAAATAGCCGAGATTTTCACTACAAGGCGTAGTTATCTAGAAATCTAAGTTAATGTCTTTCGACTGTCGTGATATAAAAAACTCACCATAAAGATAAGAATGACAATGAGACAGAGCACCACCACGATCGCGAACGGAAGCAGCAAGTGCGTATTGATGTTGAAAGGTAGGTCGCCGTTCACCATTATATAGTAACTGAAATAACAATAAGACTCAAATATAATTTTAAACTTTATGATTATCATAATAGATAACAAGTTCGTTTTGGTCTCTCGCTATGTCGCTGATTTTAAAGATTTTTGTTCTTTTACAGAAAACACCAATATTCAAATATAAAGTCGATCACGACGCTCCCTCCAAATTGAGGAAGTTTTTATTTTAAAGTGAATGGACTTGCTGATCTGGACGAAAGGTAGGATCTACGATGGAATGAGCTTGCCCAGAAGATGCCTATTCAGTTGTCTGTGCCTTGAAAACCAAGTTCCCTAACTTGACCTAACTGGAATTTGAACCTTAAACCTTTTCAACTAGCGTACAGTCTGCTAACCGCTGGGCCACCCAGGTCCACATGTCAAGCTTTAGATATGACATGTGTCGGCAAGATTGTATCCGATGTTTGAAATGGACCATGGGGTGCAACGTGCTATCATGTAATGGAATCTAGAAAAAAGTATCTATAGACCGAGACACTCACCCCCTTGTGTAGTTATATTCCTCGACAAGACTGAGACCCGCGACGTCGCTGACGAACACGGACGGGATCACTATGTCGTCCGCGTTCTTCGCTGACATCGTCTCTGCAACAACAAACACGCGCTCGTGTTTCATTTCTTTATTGTTTCATGTGGATTGTCAGAGTTGTTACATAAGAGACTCCCCACACTAGCATCTTTCGAGAGCATCAGCGTCTTGCGATTGTATACGCCGCGCGTGTGTTGACGCTGTGCGTGCGTTGGCAAGAGGCTGACGCTCGAAAGACGCTAGTGTGGGGGGTCTCTAAAATAGGGAATTTTACAAACTAAGGAATAAGGATTTTTATTATTAATAATAATAATAACGCACACACTCAACATAGCCCCGCACTTGGGAAAACCTGTGTTGCGGGTGCCATAGACACACGTAAACAACCACAAATTACACCCAAACTCACGAGAGAAGTAATTGTAGGCCATACTAATATTTTTTCTGGCTCGGGAATTGAACCTGGGCCCTCTGCGTGGCAGTCGGCATGGTAACCGTTGAGCCACGGAGGCAGTTAGAATTTGTTCGATCTTTATATGAATAATAACAATAACGGATGCCAACACAGGAACCCTGTAAGGGCACTACAATGACTATAACTTGATTCATTATAAATTTCTTATGGTGTGTCATTAACTATTTTATTTATATTATTTAGTAGAAGTAGAGCTCCTTGTGAAAGAGTTCTTATAGGGATGTACTGCCTAAATATTCTAAATTCTAGAGTATATTTTTTAAAGCAACATTTCGTTGCATTTTCATAGTTAATGCTGTAGTGACATGTTGCCGAAGGCGCACGCGGTAATGATTACTTTTTTTATCATAAAAATCTTAAACAGTCATTTTTCCAAAGAAACTATACGTATCTCTTCGTAGTTTGTTAGTGCGTTCTTTGCTGTCACAATTTAAGAAATTTGGTTTCAGCATGAAATCAAACTACACTTGTAACAAGCACAACTTTAACGTGCAATTAGTTCCATCGCGCCACTGCTAGATGGCATGGCAACTTCAATAGTACAAGTCATCTCATATGTTTTGAATTGTTAATGCCTTCTACCGCTGTAGCATTTATATGGCACTGAACAGCACTCAATTACTTGAGACGATTCCGTCCTATTACTGCTACTTTAAGGCTCAACTCACAATGGCGCAGAGTCGAAGCGTCGCGTCGGCGTCGTGTCCTGTTTTTCAACTACAACGCTTGGCGATACACGTCGACGCTCGCATTAGTGCGCCCGGATCACAATATGGTCGGCATCTGACGCCTCACTGCGCTCAAGTGACACGAATCCGTTCGACTGTATTCAACCAAGTGTCGACGCGCGTCGTCGCCCGTTTCCATATTTGCATAACACAAATTTGTACCTTAATGATGGCAAAATAGAGATGAATATACTATAGGTGAAAAACACGAAGCATCGCGACGCTTCGACTCTGCGTCAGTGTGAGTTGAGCCTAAGGCTTGGCACTGAACTGTGTGCTTTCACGCTAATGAGACATACTGTTGGGTCCAAACACAGAGATATATTTAGATAGCGTAAGTACTTCGCGTGCCCAAAGTAAGTGAAATTCACCTAGTTGCCGCTGCTACACTTCAGAACACGCGCGACCGAAACACCAGTCGAAAACGCGAAAAACGCATTATTGTGCCATTATAAACCGCAAAAGCACCATAACTGTGGGTAAATGGGCAAACAGGGACATTTCCTTCCACGGGCAAGTGATTTTGTTATCAGAAGACGCATAATTTATTTTAAAAACAATTATATTGGTGTTGTATGAATTTCGAGAAAACAAATTTGCAACCGAGTGTATGTATGCCTCATGATTTGTAATACATCGTGGCTTTCACTTAGTGCGATATATTTGTGATCCTTTGTTAATACGCCATGAATATCGAACAAACCCACTTTTGTATAATGCATTCAGTTTCGTGATACGGCCGCTTGTACTTGTAATGTGTAGTCTGGGGGGCTACTCTCGATCTCCGTCCGATAGACGTCCGAAACAATTACTGTCAAATAAGTAATATTCGATAAAATTAAACGACAAGTAACCAGTAGGAAGCTTAATTCGCATCACGCGTCTTTTCATTTGGTTAAGTATTACTTATTTGGCAGTAATTGTTTCGGACGGATGTCGGACAGAGATCGAGAGTAGACCCCCGAAGTGCCGTTGAAAACAGAAACCCATCTAGAAAAATTAATTAAGGCAGTTGCATGTTCATACATTGACGTGCGTTTTCATTATTTAAGTTAATCGATAAGACCTTCTATTACAAAAAGTAGTTATATAATAAGCTCATTTTATTTGAAGGACAATAATTTTAATATTTGAAGTCGATTAAAAATTAGTCTTAATTTTTTTTAAGTAATAAATTTTTTTTAATAACAAGTAAAATAAAGGTTTTAACTATCTTATTCTCGTATTTTTCTACTATATTAATATTACGACTACTTTTAATCAACAAATACTTTAACAAAAATTATTCTATTTATTATTCGATTAATTGAATGGAATACGCGTCTTTACGCGTATTCCGTTCAATCAATCGATTTACAGCGAGCGGAAGGAAGTTTCCATAGATAAATAATTCTTGTGACGTCATAGTGGGTACAAAAAATGTGGCACGCTTGGTTTTCACACAAATTGCTGTACTTGCGACGTCTATTTAGATATATGTTTGTGGGTCTAAATTAAAAAAAAATCCTGTAAATTTACCCTTTTTAATACTATACGCCTTTCTACACGGAAGTCTGTGTCACAATTCGTCGTAATACGCAACCCCTTTCTTGACCAGCGCTACACACTTAAATATAGAAAACATAAATCTTCAGTCAAATAATTAAGTACCTAATTATTAATACAAAGATCGGACTGGGATTCGGACCGACGTCTTCTAGCATACCGTGCCGGATCGAAGTATTTTTTTCTGAGTATTCGATCTTTTTATTAATAATTATAACAAACTAGTGGAGTAATTTCACAAAAAAGTAACTCTCAATTTTTTATTTTTTTTTTTCAAGTCAAAATCAGATATTATAATAACTAATAAATACTTTGTTGAATCTAGAGTACCTTTATGACTTAAGTAAATTAATTTGCTCTTGGATTAAATATTTTGTCTTATAACTAAAATACAGTTTTGAGACGTATTTTTTACTATTATCAAGTAATTATTCTCTAGCGTCTATGGGGATTTAATACATTTGTCTTTATAAAAAGAATTTTGTCTTTTTCTAGGTAATCTGCTTTTACCGTGTACATAATATAGTAAAGTCGAGTTGATATGTACAATTCAATCTACGATTCATTCGTTAAAATTGGATAAAACAATACGTTTGAAGAAGGAATCTAATTTCTTTTCGTAGGCATGAAATGTCCATGACGTCCTTAATTTTACACGATAAATAAATTTTTTACTCATTGCTCGTTTATTAAACGGGTATGTGAGTAGTAGAGTAATTAAAGTTTCGCGAGATTTGGTTTGTCGCAATGTAACTTGCGCTTGGTGCTAATAGAATCGACAAACACCGTACTATACTTGGACTAATTTTCATCTTAATCTTGACCTTCGGACTTGACATGGCGTTTACGGTCAACAAGTATGAAAATGAAATTAACATAGATCTGCAGTCCGATTTTGTAGGCAGACAACATAGTAAGAGCGGTTACACAAGGCGACATAGCAGCGATAAAAACGCGTGATTGCATTACGATACTTGCGGTTTATAGGCGGTTGCATCGCTGCAGTTGTTTAAGTGAAATCATTAAAAACATTCATCGCGATTGTATCGCTGCTACGTCGCGCGTGTGTGTAAAGGTTTAGCGACTGCATCGCTAGTGAAATGTTGCAGACGCGCTACTAAAAGACATCGTGTGTAACCGCTCTATGAAAGCACGCTTTATATAAACGACGCCGGTATCCTATATTTCTATAAGTGAGAAAAGAACCTTAAGCTAAATAGTAATTTTTAACACAGAGCGTTTTAAAGCATTTAAAATTAATCTTAAGCGTGAAACAGAGAGCAGGAGCGTGTCGGGTGCGGGTCGGGACCGCGGCGGGTTTAATTCCGTGTACTTATAAGGACGACAACACACCGAGCGCGGAGCCAGTACCGCGTGCGATCTGTTGCGGTCCCCACCCGACCCGCGCCCGACCCGCACCCGCTGTTTGTATGTTTTACTTTAAAAATAAATGTCGACAGCACTTAACGTCTTATACCATTACCTCTCACCTATAATTTTTTAATAGCCAATAATGATTGTAGATAGTTACTCTGCAAAGTGTATTTATAATTGTGATTGAATAGTCTCCTGTTATTGTTATTTACCTGTTGTTAGTGTTATTTTCCTAAATGATTCCAACTTCATACTTATGTTTCAAGACAATAAAACAATTTCTAAAGATTCTCGAAACACTATGAATAATAATCAATTCTTTATACAATTATTGAAACGTTTTATTAACTAATGTTCCATATCATTCATGTGAATGAGCATGATGCTACGAAATATATAAATAATAAGCGCGGAAATATTTCAGAGCGCGAGTATGTAAGCGCTACACACTCGTGCTTGAGTCGAAACGAAAGAGAGTTAAAATAATGTCAAATAACTAAGTCGGCCCCGCGCCGCGGTTTGGTACAACTTTGTATGTTCCATAAATTTAAGAACATAAGGTTATGTTATGGTATTTGGGGTTATCGTACAAAATTGCCGTTCTAAAGTCTCACTACTTTGAAATTAAATAAAGTCTTTACAGTGTACGATTCAGATTAGAATTTTTTTATCAAATAAATTAATATGTAAGGTTTTTTTAATGTTGACCTTATTCATTTGTTATTTTGCATTCGAATAAAATTCGTTCAAACTTTGAATATGAGTTCCAACGTCGCACGAAACGATAACGACATCTATGATCTAATCTATTTTAGGTTTGCTTGATTTCGCAGTGAATATTTTAATCTAGCAATAGTCTTACTTTCTCAAACTCGTATCTTAATGCACGAGTTACTGAAATGCAAAAGATTGTATATACAAATTTTGTAAGCAAAAAAAGCAAAGCATGGCATCGAAATGCCAATAAGCTCGTCGACAACCAGAGCTTAGTGGCAATAATGAGTCCAAGCTACTGTTGTAGCCAATTCATCGCAAACTACGGAAGAATAAGCAATATGGTTTGAAGTAACTACACCCACAATACGGACCCTGTGGTATAGCTTCAAAGACAATTTTCTTTAAATCTGTTAAAATCATGACAGTTCATTGTTAAAAAAATGTGACGATGCACACACAATGTACGGAAAAGCCAGGAAATCGTTTTTTTTAAAGTCTAACCACGTAAAGTACTCAAATACAGAGTTTCTTTACTGATGTACCCGCGAAAGAAACAATAAATTTTGATAACGATTTTCTCTTAGAGTATTTAGTATATTAAGACTTATTGAAATGTGAAGATAATCGAATGATGTCAAGATTTGCAAAATTAACCACGGGTAGCCAACCTATATTTATCGCTACTTCTACAAGATAACGCTAAAGTGCATACTGCCATCCTACCTTACAGTAGGTGCGGGCTACAGCCATACTCATCAGACTTGAAACCTAGTGAATACCATTTTTTCAGCTATTTAGATAATTCGGTGATCCCATATAAACATGCAATCGTTTTTACACATTTATTTTATTGGTACTTGGTACTTGGTAATATGGGCTGGTTTATTTTATTTATTATATTTCATTTATTTTATTATCCGGCTATACTGTTCTATTATATACATATCAAATTTGTCATGCACGATTTTGCTAATTATTGAAAATCAGGTTTTTTATTTTATTTTAACGCCAATTGGTTCTTTTTCATCAATTTCATTTTCAAATTCAAATTATAAAATTGACCAAAAAAATAATCCATCGGTTAAAAAAAAAAAAAATTACAAAACCTGATATTCAGTCATGCCTTGTCATAATTACAAAACGTGCTTGATCCCTAGATTCTTTTCATACGTGTTACACAAAAATACATAAGTAGGTAACACAAAAAACGAAAAATTATCTATTACAATGTACCCTAAATATTTTTTTTTGAGAAAAATATAACAAATTACGCTTGAATAAAATAATACACCTCTAAATTATTTAATTTTTTTTACGTCGTAAAACCACAGGTTAATTAATTCATTTCCATCGTTTGAGTCATTTTTCCGAAATCCATCAGACGCAGAGTAAATGAACTTCCCGCAAGGTGGCAGAAAGGTACTGATCGCATGAGTGTACGTTTTAATAAAATTAATGTAATTCTTAACCGAGTCCAAAATGAAGGAGGTTCCCAATTCGACTGTATGTTTTTTTTGTATGTATGATACGCGAGAAGTCATTTATTTCATTTTATTATATTATTAGAAGGCATCTGTGAACAGATTTTGATGATTCTATTTTGTTGAAAAGAGGGTACCTCAATAGTGGGCCCATTCAAAATTGAAGAAAATAATCCACCTCTAAGGGCGACAAACTAAGGGTCGTATTCCAGAACTCTACTCAATACTCAAGTCAGGACTTGAGTACTGCAGTGAGCACTGAAAATCATACTCAAGTCCTTGCCATTAGGGTCGTATTTCCAGTGCTTGAAATCATACTCAAGTCTGCTCAAATCATGACTTGAGCATTGAGTAGAGTTTTAGAATACGACTCTCAGGGATGCATGACTTTTGAGGTCGGTTTTTTTTTCAAACAAAACATTTGGAATTTTCATACTTAAATTATGATTATTTTAATTCTCACCAACTAAGTATCAATAATCAGCATAACCTATATAAAATGTGTACTCAAACAAAATTTCCAATACTAATTTGTCATTTAAATGAATGACTAATTAGTATTGGACATTATGGATAAAATGTAAAACACAAGTTATTTTATATCTGTGTTGATAAATGGCGATAACTATTTTTATAATTTACTTATATTTAAGGGTTAAACTGAACTATAGAGTTGATAACCGGTAGCTGGTTTAACAATATTGTTGACAAGAAAGATCAATAATGAAAACAAATGCATAGTAGCTTACATCATGTTGAAATAAGGCAGTCCTTAGTGACTCCATAGTGAATAACAGATTTTAAAACACCAACACCATAAAAAACATCATGAATAATTTTATTTTAAGCACACTGTACTGTGTCATTTAGTCTAATTTTAGACAAACCGTGGAGAAGTATAAAAATATAGAACTGCACTATTATTTACACTAACCGGCAGGGTAATAGGAAGCAAATAACTCGTTATCCGTACACTAGCCGGCGGAACACTGGCATATTGCGAACGCAAACAATGTTATCAAGGACCTTGCACTGGAGATAAAATTGAGTGATTCTACACTCAGTTGCTGACCGGGAAAGTGTTTTGCGCTTTCACTCCTTCTCGCCAATAAAAAATTGGCACTCAGGAATATTTTTGTGAAAAAATATTTCCATTTAGAAAGTTAGCCTAAACATATAATTTTAAACAGGGTTCAGCTACAACAGTTTTGATAGAGACGGTTTTATTTTACTTTGTATTTAACATGAACCGTCTTATATATATGTTATGTTCGCTGACAGTGCACAGTCAAAGTCAAAGAATCATTTATTCCATAGGAAAAATAAATGTACACTTGAAACCGTCACTTTTAAGCCACTTGTCGTTCACTACGCTGATTTCCGTGAGGAAGAACGAGCAAGAAACTCTAGGGATTGCTCTTTTCAAATAAACTTAAATGCTAAGGAATACACTTTGAATCAAATTTGTGTCGAATCTAGAGCCATGTCGTCTTTCCATACATCTTTATCCAAGACGTAGTCTTCAATTTTGAAGTATCTCTCTAACTCCTCTCTCTTCTAAATTGGTTCTGGTCTGGGTGTCTGGGTAGTGCCCTGGAGTGAATTCCGTTGCAATAGTACTCACAACACCGGGAATTCCCTAGTCAGGGAGCAGTTAATAGGTGTGGTTCTTAGGTACACTATTATAATTTTCATCTCATTTCAAAATTTACGATAAGCTTTTATTATTATCATATTTATTATTATCATAAATGAAATTAAATATAGCGTGGATATTTTCAAGTCAATGATAGTGAATTAACCGTTAAAAGGCTAGAAGGCAATAATAAATCAAACAACATTGTCGTCAAGTGCTTTACACAGACATTAAATGTACTTATCACTGCATTAAACTGTACGGATAAAGGCAACATTAACTGTTGATGGAACTATTATGCCAAGTGGAAGTGTAAAGGTAAACGCACATTAGTTCACAGTATATAAATGCGCATACGTATACGGATATAAGTGCGTTGTTGCAACAACTTCATCAGGTGGTTGATTCGGCCACATACTACTTACTCGTAAATACTTGTTATTAAAAATATGTTTTATTTGATTTTAATTATTTTCTGTATAAAAATTTTGCAAATTCTTTTTCATGCATAATCCATCATGGCATGGTTGTATGCGTCTTTGCTTTTTATAACGTTTTAGTTCGAGCTGTAATAAATAAGGAAGAATAGCTAGCTGGCCATCTGTTGACAAAAATAATCCGCCATTTGCAGAAATTAATTTGTTGTGCTGTGTATCATATTTATTTGTACAAGAAATAAACATTGTTTTTATTTCCTCGCAAATGTGATGAAAAACATTGTATATAATACGGACGGTAAAAATATATAATTCGAGTTATTTAAGCCTTCAGCCTTCGCGGGCTTCTAACACGCGTTAGTGATATCTTATTTACCGTCCTTAATGCAGAATGTATTATTTTATTTAATATTAAATTAAAAATAGGCGCCTATTTGACTATAATAATTTCAATCGAAATAAGGCGACTGACGAGACGGTACGAATTTGTAAAAACAAGACTTTTCACTCTAGCCTTGAATAGAAAAAGAATAGAGAAAATTGTAGTTGTCGGGTAATACGCAGGTAGTGTATTCAACTCAATTGCTGTACGCATTAAGAAGGAGGAAAAAGCAAAACGTTGATGCGTATGGGTGGTATATCAATAACATAAGGACAGTGTGTTTCGGACTTTCTAGTCAACCAAAGGAGGTAAGTTGTGGGTGGAACTAAATTGTAGTTTCTGCGCACAATTTAGTAATCCACCAATCAGCATTAACCTTTTGCTTCCATGTTCATTATATGAACGGTTTAGGAGTAGAACTTGGTAACTTATTCTGTTTCGGAACGGTGCAGTTTGGGTATCTTTAAGATCAGAGTAAACAGAAATCTTTCAATCAAAAATAAAAAGTTAAAAAATGACAACGAAAAATTTTTGCACATTTCTTTTCTCTGGCAATTTCACGTTTTAGCAACACTTACACCTAAGACAAGTTCCGTGTGCGATGACGGGCTAAAAAATAAAGTGCTCACCTAAATCACTGGAATTGACATTATGTACGATGGCACAGTCGTAGCCAGCCGCCTGTGCATTTCGCACTTTCACTTCAAAGCTGCAATTATATCTGAAAATAAAATGATTATTCATTGTAACGTTCAAATCTTTATACATATTTCAATATCTGAACACATTTGTCATCATTACTTCATAAATATCCGAACTCAAAAATGGATCTTATTGCTGTAGTGGCTTAAAGTATAAGTATCCAAGCCATTAAGAAAATACTAGTGTTGCACAAAACCGTAAATAAATTGTAAGCATGCATCAATACCAACATTTAAAAAATCGTATATTGGTAACATGATTTTAAATAAAGTTCATTTCACATAGCATGATGTATCGTTACGCGACTTTGAATATTAATAATACTACTAATCATTCCAATGGGCAAATTATTCGCTTAAATCCAAGCAAAATCATTCGACTCGAGTCGATTGATCATTATGTCGGAAATACTCGGAGCTCACCAGGCATGTCCATATGAAAATATCCCTGTCCCCTGTCACATTTACGGCATTTACCATATTATATCCCGGAAGGCTAGGCAGAAATCCTCTATGGAATCTAAGTTTTAATATTACAGATTAATAATGAATGATCATTGATCATTCGAATTCAAAAAATAGTAGGTTGCTAACTTGTCATTCGAATATTGAAAGAATTAGTAATTTAATTACTAACGAGTCAACTATCGAAATTATTCGCTATCGATGTGGTGAAGTAAAATCGAAGGAAAAATATATTTTAATGTTGAAATAATTTGTAACGCAGAGAGAATCGATTTTCAGAAAACAATTTAAGAACAAATAATAAATAAAACAAAAAGGATACCACTATTATGTTATTCAGTTACCGAAAAAACTACACAACAAACAAAAAATCAACAACAAACAAACCGACAGCAACGAACTGAATAATTACTCCAATAACCTCGGGCAAACACTAAATTGTAATCTATTAACAAAATAAAACATTTCGACTCATCCGTAGAACAAAGATCTATGTGCAAGACTACTTGTTCTCAGGACGTAGTACATTTCGCTCGTTCTTCTTCGCTATGAAACGAAACGAAATAAAATATATGAATTCTCAAAACACCTTAACATAGGCCTTAGTTTGAATAACGAAATTATTCTCGTAACGTACTTATTCTCTTTTCGCTATATAACCACATCGGACTCTGTTATACGGATGAGTCGATTTATCAACATCGATTCAAGTCAAGTTACGATAGCACAACACTACATCTGTCAAATCTGACGTTATCGACGCCCATATCGTCATGAGCGCGTGGTGTATTTATGCTTATTTTGTTATTTTCCTAACGTAAAAAAGTATATCAATCGAATAATACTTTTATAAATTGATTAAAAATAAATGGAAATAAACAGTCGATTTAATAGAAAGTAAAATGGTGATACAAGGTCAAAGTGGAACTCCTACTGTAGCATCTGTGATAAAATCATCTCAAATGGAGTCAAAAAGGTTCGTAATCGTCAAAAACCACATTCGAGAACTCACTATAGAAAACGAAGACTTAGATGACGAAGAAAACTCACCAAAACGTGCGAAGAAAACATCGAAGAAAACTTCTGAGGGCCACACATCGGAAACAGAAATAAAATCACACAAAGATGTATCAGAAATCAGTGCGAGCGATCTTGAAGAGTTAAGGAGTGTTTATAAACAATGTAAGGCTGTTATAAGTAAGATAGAAAGAAAATATGGTCATTTATTGAACTTATGTGATACAAAACCTGCAAAGAAGGATAAATCAAAGGAAAGAGGTTATGTTGAAGAGTGTAGTTGCGGATTGAATAAAAAAATTGTATTTGACGACGATGGCAAGCGGATAGAGAAAGAAACGACTTTAGATTGCCATGTATGCCCTAAAAAATTGAAGCAGAAAAACAGCAGTACATATAATACTAATTCAGATAGAAAGGTTAGTGTACAATTTGAAGAAACTGTTAAAGTATTGCCTGATGATATTCCTACATTAGTAAGTATCCTACAAAATCCCGAGATAAGTGTAACACATAGAAACAAAGTTGTCAACAAAGCGAGGATAGTAAGACAGGAACTTTTAAATCAACTGAGGTTCAACAAACCTTCAATCAAAGAGAAGTTAAAGTCAAATCCTGAAGAAATTTTTGAATTTGCAGGCGCAAATTTGTTTTCTTTGCCTGGGTACCCAGATTGGAAATAAAATTTTGTTAAAGTATGTACTTGACATTTTTGTAATTATGACCAAGTTTGTGATGGTAATAAAAAATAAATTACTAATTTGTTTAATGACACTGGTGTTATTTACTTATTCCTTGTACGTTGTGTTCAGCAAAATTTTACATATAATGTGGTGTACTTATTAAAATCACAGCTGTGTATGGACATCATTTTAGAGGACTTTTGTAGTTGTAAACACAGAGACTGTGAAATAATCTATTATTAATGTAGATAGCCGCAAAAAAGAGTGAGTATTCTCAAAGAGTAGAAGGCGTATACCGCAACTATAAAAATTACCTTTACAAAAACACTGAAAATCAGAGAATCACTGCAACAATTATCTCTAATAACAAAAACTACACCTGCATATCTATTAGCCTGTATAATTTTCAATGAAAACAAAATTAAGCACTATAACATTACCATTATAAGATGTCAAAGCGGAATCAGTTCCTTATCTTAAAGCAATAATACAACACATCTACCGTTTGCTAACTAAAATGAGGCGGAGTGACAAAATAATTTTTTGAGATATAAAAAACAACCCAGTTTGATTATATTTCAGTTATGCATCATTAGGGTAGGTTTCGATAAGTTGAATATGTTAAGTAATTTTTTGTTTTTAAAAGAAAATTGTAAGCTCTATTTTTTTCTATTCAAAATGTATATTTGACCATTTGTCACTTAGCCGCGATTTAGTTAATGGACGGCAGTCATACTCTTTACTACTGAGACGTGGCCATCTACGATTCTCGTTTGCATCTATGCTAATGTCAAACTACAATTCTTTCGTAACTCTATTTCAACTGACTAGCTATATGAGTTCATGTAATTGAATGACACAATATGGAATAGATCAAGTTTTTGTAGGTGTGATAGAGATAGTTGCTTGATGGGCAGTATTTTACTAAGGCAAGGGAGCATCCATAGGGCAACTTGCCTGTTCCGGTAAAACATTAAGGAGTTTTGTATGGGAATCTCTCTTTTGGATTTGGACCTAACAGCCCATATCGCTCTATGTCTATTACAGGCAATAAAACACTAGCAGTAAATTAAGAAAGTAGTTATAAAAGGTAAGGCCTTACGCAATACCTACCTAGCAACAAGAACGATCCATTTGCCGGTAAAGTTGTCAATTTGCGGCGGCTTAATGAGTGGCTGGCAACCATCATGGGGCTCCCCACCCACGAGTAACCCTCGCAGCCCGTCCACTGGCAGGTCCGGCCCGAAGTTGGCGGGCATGTCGCGAAATTCTTCCGCTATCTGTATAGAAGAAAACAAAATATTAGATGTTTTTGTTTTAATAAACAAAAGGGTACTTTGCGAAAACGCTGGATATGGTCGATGTGCTGATGACAATGTCGATGTGCTGACGACATGATCAATGCGCTCATGACATGATCAATGTGCTGACGACATGGTCGATGCGCTAACGATATGGTCCATACGCTGATAACGTGGTCAATATCTATGTCAGCGTAGAATATATTTAGCTAAGCTTCGAGTTCAGAGGGATTTCAAATGGGTATTACCTACGCTATAAGTATAACTCTATAAACTTCCAGTATATTTAAAGTGTAGGTTTATATATTCTTATCTATTCCAATAACTGCTGATAACTGAAACAATAGTTACTGATTTTTTAATACACATATTGGTGGAAGTGACTTTTTCATAACAATAGAACAGTATTAAAATAGAAATTATAGGTCCTTAAAACTATCAAATTCGCACAGCAATAAGGTCATATTTGCAAAATTACAACTTTTCAGAAGAGAGATTTAAAGATGCTACGATCAAAATTAGTCGATAACTTTTATAGTATAAGAGAGATGCTTAAATAGAAGAGACATAAAATTTCACTTATATGTACTGTATACATCATTTGTTTCAAGTAGTTCGTACTATTTTCATATGATAAAAGCACTTTTGACGTATGACCACATGTAGATTTACTATAATACCAAGGGTACGAAGTATTGTCTTAGATAAGAATTAAATACACAGAAACGGAAATACTAACAAACTCCTGCATTCCGACGATATGCAGAACCTGCACAGCATTGATCGGGAAGAGAACAGGCATCTTCATCTTGGTACAGAAAAAAATTGTTTCCTTCCGAGTAGGTATCCTTGAGTAATTTAAATGAAGCTGATTTGAATACACTAGTAAGTCTCACATTTGCTACGCCAGTAAACGTTTTCACGGTGGTTTTTCCATTTATTCTACACTGTACGTATTTCGGTCACACTTGTGTCGTTAACTTAGTATGTCACATTCCCTGTCCTTTTAGTTCGGTCAGCCGATACCGATTTTACCACGGCCCGGCAGTCGAACGATGTCCATTAATCTTGATCGTTTTTCAGCTATTGAAACTGACGTGAGGTGGTGAGAGGTAGATATTAAGATACAGACTTTGTGCTTAGCAACTAAACAAATACAGCAAATTTGTCTTGTTAGCATTATAATTACGTAAGTACTTGAAAACATTAAACATAATTGTGATTGCAAAATTGTGTGGGACAATGGTTTATTATTTAATTAATGCATTTAAGTGAATGTGGGCACAGTTCTTAATTACCAAAACATGACACCTAAAGTTGGGTCATGGAAAATTTCCATCTTTAAAAATTCTCAAATTTCAGGAAAAAGTATATTTCAAAGCAAAGTTTTGTTCTTGTGGTGCTGACCACAAAAATTTGCGTACCATAAAGGAAATGTTACACACTTTCAGATTTCTCTTTGTGACAAAAAGGGAACAATAAAGTATTTCCAATTAATAGTACATAATATTACACGCAAAATAGGCGCCTTGACGTCGAGTTGGGGACACTAGCCCGTTACACCAAGTACCAAGTAGTACATATATTTCAAAATTGTACAACAACCTAGATGACAGAACCTAGTCATGTGTAGCTTTACGAGATTATGTAAATACCACTTCGTAGCTATGTAAATAGGCAGCTATATAAGTACAGTTAAGAACATGTCAAGCTTGACACTTTGTACTTTGGACCGTTCTTATCGTAAGCGGCAGAGAGTTGGATTTAAATCTTAAGTGTCAAGCTTCACGTGCTCTTGACCCTGCACAGTCAAGAGCACGTCAAGCTTGACACTTTCTACTTTGGACCGTTCTTATCGTAAGCGGCATAGAATTGAATTTAAATTTTAAGTGTCAACCTTGACGTGCTCTTAACCCTGTACCACTGTGACAGTAATCAGGGGTGCCTACAGCTACTCTTTTCTACACACTTGCTGCTCAATGAATAGAAATACTGTGAAATCAGAAACCTAACCTTCTTGAAAATTGGTGACAATTATTGCTAACAAGTATCAATCTGTTTAGACCGATAATGAACTGCGTTCGCGACAGGTCGTGTGGTCTTGGTGATTAATAGCGCAGGTGAAATACGATCTAAAACATACGACCACAAGATTTCATTATAAATAAATATAAACAAACACACACTTAACACACATTCTAACTGTTAAATTTCTATTCTAATGTTGCCTGGAAGAAATTGCCACTTAGCAATAAGGCCGCCTGTTGTATATTATTTTACTGTGTGATACTTACATTAGTGTTCTGTTTTCTCATTGTAATTTTTAATGTGCAATAAATAATATTTCATTCATTCATTCACTTAGGCAGAGACCACAGCGTTCCACTTGCAATCAAACCTGATACAGATCTGTCGCCTCATCGACAGCATCAATCAATAAACCACAGGATAATATTTAATCTACCATTTTTTCATAAATAAAGGGTACAGTATGCTGAGGTAATTTCCTTTAGTAATCACTTATTAGCAGTAGAGCTCCTTGTGAAAGAGTTCGTCCAGGGAAGTACTGCCACCTTACATATTTCTGCCGCCAAGCAGTAATGTGAGCATTACTGTGTTCCGGTTTTGAAGGGTAAGTAAGGGTGCTGGTAAAATTCCAGGCACATGGAACTTGTCAACTTATGTCTCAGGGTGACAAAAAAAAAAAAAAAGGGTGACGGGCGCAGTGGCGGTGACCCTCAGATCTTTGTGATTTAAAGTTCTGAATGGCACTGCAACTATTATGGACAGGCGTGTCGCTTATCGCTAGGCGCACGACTTGTTCGTCCAATCACTTGGTGTCATAAAAAAAACTTAGAAATGTGTTGTTTCCTAGTTATTCTAAATTAGTTCTATAATCTGAGTGTTCTTGATAATAGAGAGACTCGTAATGATCGCGGGGTTAATTCTTTGTTCTTAATTCTTATTTACTAATGGTTCCTACTGGCAATTCCGAATGAAATTTAATAATTGTCGTCTTCGTTTCTCGATCTACGTCTTACCACCCCTTACTAGCGAAAAGCCAACGAACACAAATTCACAAATATTTAGCCAATCCACTAATTTTTACACTAGTTTTCATAACTTTAACATTAGCACTGACAACTACAGGGAAAGATTATCGACAGACTGGTACTGTCGATCGAGTGCTAGTAATATTCCTTATGATACCTTATCTAGTTTTAGGTAAATAAGTAATTACGTTCATATTAAGGACAACTTCAGCGTGAGAAGTCAATGTAGTCATTTTCAAAGACTTGAGTTTGCTGTTGGCATGTATACCTAAGTTCCTAGTTTTTTTTATAATATCCAGGGACGTGACGAACAAGTTGTGCGCTTGATGGTAAGCTACACACCTGTCCATAAGAGTCGCAGTGCCACTCAGAGCTTTAAATCGCCCGTCACCCTGAGACGTAAGTTGACAAGTCCCATGTGCCTGTAGTTTCAACCGGAATGCAGTAATGCTAACATTGCTGGTTGGCGGCAGAAATAGGTAAGGTGGCACTACTTCCTTGGACGAACTCTTTCACATGGAGCTCTACTGCTACTAAAAATAAATACCTAATCTGTATTTATACCGCTAGTTGTGCAATGCGCAACGGGAAGTGGGGAAGTGAGCGTGCCTACAGTTCCGGTACCTATCTGGAAAATAGGGAGGGTGCTGTACGTGCACTCGGGGCGGCTCACCCGAGCCTCTCGTAGAACCGGATGAAGTCAAGTAACAGAGGTCTGTGAAACCCCTTTACACTGGTGATCTGGGGTTATTACCACACAGAGTTATCACTGTAGCGATTTATTTAAATAATTTTATAAAAAAGCTCTCGTACTTATAGTACAGGAAATTCCTTAACTTGAGACTAGGCAATTGGTGTGATTGTATGTCGTATCTCGTAGATTGTTAAGCTAGGGAGTGACCACACTTACTGACAAGGAATCGCATTAAGTCGGACCGAAAAAGTTATAAAGCGCTATAAGAGTGAAAAAGACGTTGTGCGTTTCGCGTCCGGCGCGGTCCGAGTGAAAGAGAAGCGCGGCGCAATGTCGTTGTCGCTCTTAAAGCATTTTCTGTCAAGCTCGAGCCCATTCGCGTTAATAAGTGTGGTGACTCCTCGTCTCAATTGATTTCATACAGCGACACGTATTTAGATGATTCATAAGTACTTAAGCACGCCTTCATTAACTGTAGCAACTACAAAATGGGGACAAAACCACACTGAAAAAAAGGACAAATAAAGTGCTTCAGTTATTTCATTATTTTTACCACAAGTTAGTTAGTTGTAATCAAAATTAGTTTGAATTAATAAAAGTGTGCATTTATGAAACACAAAACTGTTTGGTTAGGTACCTATTGCCGTAGTTTTGTAGTCACCAGTTTCATGTTATATGTAAACGAAAATAATGCTACATAAAACAAATCGTTTTTTTTTTCAGTGTAATATTGTACTACAGCTTGTACAGTATTTACTTTACCGATGGTTCCCAAAGCAATACACCTTATAATTGACCGCTATAGTTCTTTTTATAATACCAAGCGATGGGATGAGCAAGTCGTGCGTCTGGTGGTAACCGACACGCCTATCCATAACAGTTGCAGTGTCACTCAGAGTTTTAAATTGCAAAGATCTTAGGGGAACTGCCACCCTGAGACATAAGTTGACAAGTCCCGTGTGCCTGTAATTTCACCAGCACCTTTACCCTTCGAAATCAGAACGCTGTAAGGGCGCGTTCCCACTATGTCGTCACGTTTTATTATCGTTGGACGACTGTCGTGTCTAGCCTGTTCCCATATCACGACTATCTGTCGTGGACGATTTTTTATCGTTGAACGACTGTCGTGACTAGCTGTTCCCACTAGATCGTGACGACAATTTATCGTTTCACGACAGCCTCCTTGTCGTTTGCACGACAGAATCGTTTGATGCACTGCATTCGCGAAAGAA